CATTGAGCATCCACAGCATTCTGTTGCCCAATCTTCAACAAAAATATGCTTTAAAATTTACTGTTAAGTACAGTACAGTTTAGCAACTATGCTAAACAGAAGATAGCAAGAAATAATGTGGTTATATTGCTTTTAATAATTCATATTATATTGCTAAACAGATATATATATTTCAAAATTTTGACAGAAACATGTAATAGTTGTAAAGATACACAGTAGCAATGCTGTTCAATAAAAACATTGACATAAATTCTCAACCCTCCCCAGGAACTCTGAACACAATGTAGTACATTCAGAATTTTTACCTCTTCCCCAATCCCCTTTAAGCAAACACTCATAATATATAAAATAACCACAGTAAATAAACCAGTCATATTACATAGCTAAAATTTCCTAGCATCTTCTATTTTATTATAGTGAATTTTACTTTTTATCCTGGTCTTATTATTCGAAATGTAGTCTCCAAAATGGCAAATAGTAAGCGTGGCTGTTGATGCAAGAAAAATAGGTCACCCAACTTTTAATCATCTTTAAACAATATTGTTCGTTCAAAACAATATGAAGATTTGTAATATGACCAAGCTTCCAATTTCACCAAGGCTTACAGCAAAACACAGTACACAAGAGAAATAATGGGATCAGATTTAAGGAAGCTGAGAGAAATAGGGTATTTCTGTTTTACTTGCATTGCTTGAAAATTGCTTTTAATCCTGACTACAGTTGTCTTCAACGTACGACCACAGCCCAAAATTTATGTTGCTGAGAAATCTGTTAAGTGAGTTTTCCCCATTTCATGATTTTTCTTGTCATATTTGTTAAGTGAATCACTGCCAGTTTTTAAATTAGTAACACAGTTGTTAAGTGAACCTAATTTTCCCATTGATTTGCTTGTCAGAAAATTGCAAAAGATTATCACATAACCCGGAGACATTGCAACCGTCATAAATATGAGTCAGTTGTCAAGCATCCGAATGTAAATTACGTGACCATGAGGATGCTGCAATGGTCGTAAATGAGAAAAATGATCATGTCACTTTTTTTAGTGCCATTGTAACTTTGAACGGTCACTAAACAAACCGTTGTAAGTCAAGGACTACCTATATTATGTTCTATAACTCTAAAGTACTAGGCACCCGAATTCATTATCATTAATGAAACAAGGTAAAGTGTACTGTTTTGCTTTCTGACATATGAAAATATTTTAATATATACTGACATTAGTGTCCAGTAATTTGTCATAATGCCTTTGAAGCTTGGAAATTAGCCTTTTATGAACCTAGTTATACCTGGATGGGAGGACACTGGAACATACATACAGATGGGAGAAAGTCTTGGCTCTGCAGTGTACAGAACAGCAGAAATATTTATGTATTTTTTATTTTATCTGAATTCCACCTTTATTATTTTCAAAAAATAATTCAAGGTGGTGAATGTGTACAACACACCTTCCTCCTCCTATTTTTGGCACAACAACAAGCCTGTGAGGTGAGCTAGGCTGGGAGAAAGTGACTGACCTAAAGTCCTCATATAAACCATACAAGTTACACTTCATTAATCTTCAAGCTATGCTCATCCTCAGGATTTTTGAAAGCATCCAGACAAAACTTCACACCCAAATACAGGTAGTCCTCAACTTACAAGTTTGTTTAGTGACCTTTCAAAGTTACAACGGCACTGAAAAATGTGACTTATGACCGTTTTTCAATTACGACCATTGCAGCTTCCCCAAGATCATGGAATCAAAATTCAGTTACTTGGCAATGGGTTCATATTTATGACCATTGGTGTGTCCCAAGATCACATTTGCAACCCCTCTGACAAGCAAAGACAATGCTTGTCCAGATTCATTTAACAACCAGGTTACTAACTTATCAACTACAATGATTCACTTAACTAACTGTAGCAAGAAAAGTTGTAAAATGGGGCAAAGCTCACTTAACAAATGTTTCATTTAACAACAGAAATTTTGGGCTCAATTGTGGTTGTAAGTTGAGGACTACCCATACAAATAGGTTATTATTTAAAGAGGAGCATTTAAAAGACACTTTTAAGCAAAAGAGACAGCACTATGTGATAGCTGGTTCTCTATGAACTCATATATTGTAAAGGGTAACAATATATAGCTGAATTCCGTAGCATTTATGTTCCCACCTTCCTATCCATACAAGAGGAGTCAAGTTATACTACGCCAGATTTCTACTGTAGGAAAATTTAGACACATACATATAAAAGCACAACAAGATTAGAGGAAGAAGGAGCAGGAATTATTATAGAGGAGGGCCATATTACTAAAAGAATGCAACTGCACCAAGAAGGGAGGACATATTATTGCTGGCAGTACCTATATCAAGCCTTGCAGAAGAGAGGGCAGGCAGGAGTCCTAACTATGGGCAATAAATAAATCAACAAATAGGTGTCTGCTTCAGAGTGATCCAATGCCCTAGATCAGTGGTTCTCAACAATTTTGGTCTCGGTACCATTTTATTGTACAGGTAGTCCTCAATTTACAACAGTTCGCTTAGTGACTGTTCAAAGTTACAACAGCACTGAAAAAAGGGACTTATGACCATTTTTCACACGACGGTTGCACCAGCCCCATAGTCAGGTGATTTACATTCAGATGCTTGACAACATTCATGACGGTTGCAGTGTCCCAGGGTCATGTCTGTGATCCCTTTTTGCGACCTCCTGACAAGCAAAGTCAATGGAAAAACCAGATTCATGTAACAACCCTGGTTAGTAATTTAACAACTGCAAGTGTTAAGTAATTTAATACTTAACAAATGTGGCAAGAAAAGTCAAGTAAAGTGGGACAAAAGTCACTTAACAAATTTCTCGCTTAACAACATAAATTTTGGGCTCAATTGTGGTTATAAGTTGAGGACTACCTGCATTAAAATAACACAAAGTCTACACAAGAGCTTTGGTTTAAGGGGGGGGGGGGCAGGTGCGGGTTCCAAATCCCGTCGCTACTGGTTCACTCATGCGCGCGCGTGATGCTTCTGTACATATGCAGAAATGTCTGGGCGGGTGGGCGGAGCCTCCTGCCACCACTACCGGTTTGCCCGATCCGGTGGAAACCGGTAGCAACCCACCACAGGGTGGGGTGGGGGGTGGGGTATACCTATCGATATTTCTTGTGTTAGAAATTTAAAAAAAAAATTCAAAATATAGTTAGTCCTCGACTTACGACCCACAAGTGAGCCCCAAATTTCTGTTGTTTGGCAAGAGAAATTTGTTAAGGGAGTTTTGCTCCACGCTATGACTTTCCTCACCATGTTTGTTAAGCCAAATCATTCCAAACTGTTATATTACCGTGTTTCCTCGAAAATAAGACCCTGTCTCATATTTTTTTTGAACCCTGAAATAAGCGCTTGGCCTTATTGCCATGCGCTCAAAAGCCCGATTGGGCTTATTATCAGGGGATGTCTTATTTTGGGGGAAACAGGGTAGTAAGATGGCTGTTAAGTGATCCTGGTTTCCCTTATCAGGTCGCAAAAGTGGGGGGGGTTAGGGTTAGGGTTGTGGGGGGAGAAAGGGAAATCACATCACACACACACACCGAACAACTGCAACCGTCATGTGAGTCGGTTGCCAAGCACCCAAATGTAACAATAACAAGAGTTGGAAGGGACCTTGGAGGTCATCTAGTTCAACCCCCTGCTCACGCAGGAAACCTGTACTAGGGATTTGAACCACCAAAGATCGACAAGCTCAGTGTCTTGGCCACTGAGCCACCTAGTCAGGCATAGAACGTAAACCACCTGGGACGCTACGATGGGTTGTAAGTATGAACAAGGATCAGAAAAGTCACTTCCCTCCCCCTCCCGTGCGGTTATTTAACAGTAACAGAGTTGGAAGGGCCCTTGGAGGTCATCTAGTCCAACCCCCTGCTCACGCAGGAGACCTGTACTAGGGATTCGAACCCCCCATCGACAAGCTTAGTGTCTTCGCCACTGAGCCACCTAGTCAGGCATAGAACGTAAACCACGGGGAACGCTACGATGGGTCTTAAGTGTGAACAAGGATCAGAAAAGTCACTTCCCCCCCCCCCCCGCTGTTGTTTAACAGTAACAGAGTTGGAAGGGACCTTGGAGGTCATCTATTCCAACCCCCTTGCTCACGCAGGAAACCTATACTAGGGATTCGAACCACCAAAAATCGGCAAGCTCAGTGTCTTGGCTGACTAAGCCACCTAGTCAGGCATAGAATGGGACGCTACGACAGGTCGTAAGTGTGAACAAGGCTCAGAAAAGTCACTTTCCTCCCCCCCCTCCCCCCCACGCTGTTGTTTAACAGTAACGGAGTCGGAAGGGACCTTGGAGGTCATCTAGCCCAACCCCCCCTGCAGGCGGAGGAGGCCTGTGATAGGGATTCATTCGAACACGCCGAACTGCCCACCGACAAATAAACTTCGGACGGCCACTAAACGAAACCGCCGTAAAGTCGAGGACTTGATTTCTGTGAGGGTTTCTTCTCAGGCTAACCTCTTATGGAGGAAAAGTCCAGCCCCCTTTTTCTTTCCACAAGAAGAAGACGAGGAGGAGGAAAAAAAAACCCTTTCCCCGCCTGCATCCCTGGAAGAACGGACTCGGGGAGGTCGTTTGAGGGCAACCCCGCCGCGCCCACAAGGCGGCGGGGCGAGAGAGTGAAGCGAAGCGAAGCGGCCGGGATCCCCCTTCCAGCTTGGGAAGCGCGGCTGAGGCGGCGAGCGACAAGCGGGAACCCTTAAGCAGGGCAGGGCAAGGAAGGCTTTGCCGCCGGCTTGGCTCTCCGTTATGAAACCGCCGTCCCCGCCTCGCTATGGAGCCCAAGCGGCGGCGGCGGCGGCGGCGGCGACGGGAGTGGCCGGGCTGGGTAGCGAAGGGAAGGGAGAGAAGGGCTCCCCCCAGAGGGCCTGAGCGGCGTCCACCGCGGGTCATCTGAGGCCTTCGGGAAAGGATGGCGGGGCCTGAGCTCATAGCCCTGCGCCAACCCTGCCTGCCTGTCAAAAGTTTTACCTCAGCCCCGCTCTCCTCAGAGCCGTCTTCCCGCCCTGGAGGACGAGGATGCTGCTCGGTCTCTATCAAAGGGGCGGCGACGGTTGTTTCCCTCAGCTTTCCCCACCCACCCCCGTCTCCGCGCGCTCGGGGTGGGGTGGGGGGGCTTCTCCTCACTCTGCCTCCCGTTCCTCCAGGCCGCAGCGTCCCAGCTCTTCCCGCCCAATCCACGAGGGCGGCTCGCCCTCGTTTCCTCAGAAGGAGTCAAGCGACGGCGGCAATCTTCCCAAGGCCTCAGCAGGCAACCTTGCTTATCACCGCGCATGCGCCACCCTGGCACTTACCGGCAAAACAGTAGCCGCCGTCGCCGCCAAAACCTGGGAAAAGCTTTTTTTTTTTTTTAAATCCCTTGTGCGCGTGCGCTCCTGGCAAAACCCGCAAACGGGTGAGAGCCCCCTCCCTCCCCCCCTCAGTCTCTTTTTTTTTTTTTCCTCCCGCCTCCCCCCTGAATGTCCCTTTGGAGGCTACTACGCATGCGCCGTGAGCGCATACTCCAGCCCAAGGCTGCCCAGGGTGATTCCCGTTCGTCAAAAGCCGAATAAGGACAAGGGGTGCCTTGCGCCTGCGCCGCCGGAACGTTTTTTTTAGTAGAACGGAACCTACTGCGCAGGCGTCCTAGCCGAAGCCCGCCTGACCTCAGATTACCTCGTTTTGGAACCTGGAGCCTCTAGGGAGGAAACGAAGGCGAAATAAATAAAAGGGCGCTGCGAGAAGACTTCGGTGCGCGTGCGCGGGATTGAGCGCTGGGAGAGAGAGAAAAAAAATAGGATTGAATTTATCCAAAGGAGGAGCCGCTTTAGCAAATGGGATTATTGCAGGCGCCTTTAAAAGCAGGGGAGGCAGGGCTGGGGAATGCACTAAAATAACCGGTCTCCAACCTTGGCCAATTTAAGACTTGTAGACTTCAACTCCCAGAATTCCCCAGCAAGCTGACTGGAGAATTCTGGGAGTTGAAGTGCACAACTCTTAAATTTACCAAGGTTAAATCAACTCCTGATGCTAAGGAACCTTGTTTATAGTGGAGCCACTTTAAAAAGCTGGCAAGATGCCCATGGCACCGTAGGAAGAAATATCCTTCTGGGTTCAGCTCCAAGTGGGGGAAAAAGACACTGGAAACATGGAGACTGCTTGGAAAGATGGTTTAATGGTGGACAGGATCACATGGTTTGAGTTCCTGAACAGAAAAAAAAGAGCCGAGATACAGCGAGTCCCCGGGTTTTATGCTTTCTCTGGCTTTGAACTGTTGGAAGAAACATCCTTCTAGGTTCTGCTCCACGTGAGGAAACAGACACTGGAAACATGGAGACTGCTTGGAAAGATGGTTTAATGATGGACAGGATCACATGGCTTGAGTTCCTGAACAGAAAAAGGGCAGATACAGAAAATCCTTGGGTTTTTATGCTCTCTCTGGCTCTGCATTTCTTGGGGTCCCAAAAGAGTATCCTGATTGGTTGTCAGACTCCCAGGGGGTGAGGGTTTTAGCTAGCCTTGCTGGCTGATGGTCACATGTGCTTCCCAGGTCACATGTGGTGAGTTTCTGCTGCTATTGTGTAGAGGGCTAATCCTATCTTTGTTGGATCTTTGGCAATTCCTACTTTGGCTCTGCCTGAAGGAGGTAGATCTTTGTTATGTAGAATAGACTGGCCCAAGCTTTAATGGCCCATTGACAAAGGGTGAGGGCAGGAAGATGGGAGCTGCTTCAAAACATGCTTATCCCAGGGAAATATAATATTCTGCCTTTTTCATATTTCCTAAAATATTTCACTCTTCCAGGAAAGGGGTGGGTGCTAACTTCCTACAGAACTTCCTGGGGCCCAGAAAGAGCATCCTGATTGGTTGTCAGACTTCCAGGGGGTGGGGGTCTTAGCTAGCCTTGCTGTCTGATGTAATCTTCCCAGGTGCCATGTGGTGAGTTTCTGTCCTAGATGGGTCCTATTGTGTTGCAGATGAGTTTCAAAGATTTAAAGATTCAGTTTCTGCCTCTGGCCCATTGACAAAGGGTGGGGGGCAGGAAGGTGGGAGCTGCTTTGTCTTTAAAACATGCTTCTCCATTTCTCATACAGGGAAACATAATATTCTGCCTTTTTAATATTTCCCAAAATATTTCATTTTTCTAGGAAAGGGGCGGGTGCTAACTTTCTTCAGCACCTTGAAGACGATATAGAGCAGGGGTCACCAAGCTTTCGGACCTCAGGGACCATTAACTTCATAATTTTAAATCCCACGGACCACTAATATGATCTGCCTAATGACTGGCTGGGTGGGCATGGCTAGGTGGTCATGTGACTGGGTGGGTATGGCCAACTTGATGTCACTCACGCTAGCCTCTACTCGCCCCTCCCCTCCCACCCACTCCTTGCCTGCCCACCCGGGCCCCAACAGGAAACAGTTGCTGGAGCTAAGCAGCCACCATGAGAAAGAGTTAGCTCAGTTCAAATTGGATCTGACGAAGAAGAAGGCTCAGCAGAAGCACCTCACTTAGGACTAGGAGCATAGGCTTTCCAAGCAGAGAGAAGACCTGCAGGAGTGCAAGGCCAGGTAGCGGCACCTGGAAACTCAACAGGCTGATGGTCAGCTAGTTCCAGGCCATGATGCAGTCCCACTGGAACAAGGCCCTCCAGTTCTTTGCCACCAGCGGCACTTCCCTCCAGCCTTCGCCAAAAGCCCCGCACCAGGAGACCAAAGCAGACCCCAAATCGGAATTTCTGCCCCCCTCCGACCTGCACAAAAAGACCCCAAAGAGGGAGACTCTCTGCAGCAACACAAATGTTCATTGCACGTATCCATCCCAGGGGCCCTAGTTTGAGTCCCCCTGATTTAGTGCAATATTAAAAATTGCAAATAATTTTTCTGCGGACCACCAAAATTTTTTCATGGACCGTCAGTGGTCCATGGACCACCAGTTGGTGACCACTGATATAGAGCACCCAAGAAGGCATCTGAGAGCAGGAAGCAGAAAAAAGAAAAGAAAAAAAGTTCATTTCTCTATCTCTATCTACAGTTTTACTGCTTAATCGTGGGTTCCAGGATAATTTTTTTTAATTCACAATTTAAAAAATGAAAAATCCTTGTTCTAGAACAGGGGCTTCTCAACTTCTCGCCATCGCACCTCTTTTTACTCTGCTGTAAGCTCTGGTGTAAAATCTGTCACTACCTCCATTTCCTCCCCATCTATTTGCTAGGAATTGAGAGGGCCGGATGCCATGATCTTACTTTTCTTAATGTTGAGTTTCAAGCCAACTTTTGCACTCTCCTCCTTCACCCGCATCAAGAGGCTCTTTAGTTCCTCTTCACTTTCTGCCATTAGAGTGGTATCATCTGCATATCTGAGGTTGTTGATATTTCTCCCGGCAATCTTAATTCCAACTTTTGATTCATCTAGCCCCACGTTTCTCATGATGGGAGGAAAGCTATGGCAATTCTAGACAGCATACTAAAAAGCAGAAATATTAGCCTGCCAACAAAAGTGTGTAGAGTCAAGGCTGTGGTTTTCCCAGTTGCAACGTATAGCTGTGAAAGTTGGACCATAAGGAAGGCTGAGCGCCAAAGAATTGAGGCCTTTGAATTCTGGTGCTGGAGAAGACTCCTGCGAGTCCCTTGGACGGCAAGATGATCAAACCGGTCAGTCCTAGAGGAGATCAACCCTGACTGCTCTTTAGAAGGCCAGATCCTGAAGATGAAACTCAAATACTTTGGCCACCTAATGAAAAGGAAGGACTCACTGGAGAAGAGCCTAATGCTGGGAGAGATTGAGGGCAAAAGAAGAAGGAGACGGCAGAGAACGACGTGGCTGGATGGAGTCACTGAAGCAGTCGGCATGACTTAAATGGACTCCAGAGGATGGTAGAGGACAGAAAGGCCATGTCCATAGGGTTGCGATGGGTCTGACACGACTTCACAATTAACAACAAGCTTAATTTACACACCTGTAAAGACCTACCTCCTCTAAAGACCTCCCCTAAAAGACACCAAAATGAACACCAATGAACAATGGAGATTATGCAGTGAGATTTGGGAAAAGGCGGATTTTTCATAATATCGCAACTAAAGGATCCTTTTCATCTCACTCTGGTTACTTGGATCCCAAGATAGCTACCTCACAGTTTGCCAAAACCTGCTCTAAAATGTATGTGTGTATATATGTACTGTATATATGTATTTATTTATTTAAGCATATATAAGATAACAGATAAAAGTATAAACATAATTTGAATACATGAAAAGAGTAAGTACAAGTACAGCCAGACAATGTCGGCTGGCGACCCCCAGGGGGAGAGCCTTCTCTGTGGCGGCGCCCACCCTCTGGAACAACCTCCCCCCAGAGATACGTACAATAACAGACCTCCGGATTTTTCGTCGGGCCCTGAAAACCCATTTATTTCAGCTAGCTGGGCTGGCTTGAGTTAAATTTTAAACTGATTTTAAATTGGAATCTTTTAATTACGGCCAGATTATTTAATTATTTTAAACAGTTTTTAGGTTTTGTATGTCTTGTTTTTACTTTGGCTGTTCACCGCCCTGAGTCCTATATTGGAGAAGGGCGGTATAGAAATTTAAACAAATAAATAAATAAATAAATAAGTAAAAAGGAATATTAGGACAGGGATGGTCCCCTTATTGAACAATCCTGAGAAATGAAGCCCTTTCTTCAAACATTTGATCGATTATTTGCCATCAAGTTGATGCCAACTCAATGACAACATAGGTAGATTTTCTCCATGATAATCTGTCCCAAACCTGCTCCTTCAGATCTTCCAATGGTGCACCGATCATCACTGTCACAGTGTCCATCCACCTTGTTGGCTGTTCTCTTTCTCACTTGACATCCATCTTTCATAGTATTAAAGCATTTTCCAGGAAGCTAAAATCTTTGCATAATGTGTGAAAAGTCTCTTAATCTGAACCTGGCCATGTGTGCCTTGAGTAAAAACTATGGGTTGAACTCAGTCGTGGGTTTCAAATATTTTTATTACCGGTTCTGTGGGTGTGGCTTTGGGGGAGGGGGCTTGGTGGGTGTGGCAGGGGAAAGATACTGTAAAATCTCCATTCTCACCCCACTCCAGGGGAAGGATACTGCAAAATCTCCATTCCCATCCTACTC